CAGTCTCTCACTAAAATGATTCATCAAAATTGACATTGTCACACCAGTGTGTATGCATGAGTGTGGATGTTTACTTTGTCTCCTCTTTCTTTCTTTTCCCTAAACGTCCTTTTTTTGTCCATCAAACCCTGTTCGCTTACTGTTTTTTACTTTTTTTCGCATTTTTTCATTACTTCCTATTTTGGTTTTTTGCTTAGATGTACATGTGTGAGAGCTGTAGAAAATAGTAAGTTTTACTTACAGTTAGTTTTTTTTTTCTGACCTTATGTCAAGATTACTTTTTCTTTTTTTTTTTCTTATTTGTGTGTTGAGTCCTCAGTCCAATAATCCTCTCCAAACTTTTCCATTGTTGTGTTGTAACCCTCATCCTGTATCTGCCCAATGCTGGGAGGTCCTGGTCACAGCACCAAATCAAGTCTAATGTTGAATAGCACCCTTGTGCTGGGGAGCTCTTGGCTGACAGTGATCACTTGATAATAAAGTTGCCTTCTTCTCTCGCAGCCGGGGATTGCTAGTTCTTTTGAATTCAGAGATAAAAGAACTTCAAGACAGTGAATTTTAACAGCTATTTATTAATCACGTTGATGTATACACCTAACTATCCAGTGGGGTCGCTCTCTCACTCCACTGGGAGCAGTTCCAGACACGATAGGTAACATGTCTACATTGTTCGACAGTTAAGAAATAACACACTAAAAAACCTTTCTATTTCTCTATCATTCCCACGCTTGTTCAGCCAATCAAAATTGACTTCCTTATTTTCTCTTCTATCTGACCTCTAAGGTCAACCTGAGGAAGTCCGAACAGAGATACACTTCCTTTAAAAATAATAGTTTGCTAAACTATTATTTAAATGTGTCACACTTTACTGATTTCTCTGGTGGGTCCTCCTATTTGCTTCTCGTCTGTCTGCTTCTATTCCGTAAGAAAGGACTTCTGACTACTTGCATGAAGCTTGGTTTCAACTAACATCACAAGCCTCTTTTCTTTTTGATTGGCCAAAATTCTTTTATTTTTCAATGTTCTTTTCTTTTCTTTTTTTTTTATAGCAGAATTATGTATGGAGCCTATCTTATTTTGGTAGATTTCTATCACAACTGGACTCATAGACCAGCAAACTTCCACCATTTTGCAGCTATGTTCAGTTTTTTCTTTCTCTTTTTTTATTTGAGGGTTGCCTTCACATTAATTGAGAGAGACGTACAGAGAGAGAGAGAGAGAGAGAAGAAATATGGGTTTTAAAGGAAAGCAAATGCCTTATTTTTATTTTAATTCCTTTTTTTGTTTATATATTTTATTTTCATATTTATTTTTTACATTTGGGCTCATCACAAAAGATGAAAGTGAATTCATACATTTTTTGTTCTTGAGAATTTACAACAAAAATATTCAATGCTATCAGATTGCTTATTTACAAGAATAATTTTACATTTACAACGTTCTAAAAACTAATAAAATTGTACTAAAAATAATGCAATGCTATATTTATTATTTACTAATTTATAAAGAAATAAATATGAATACAATTTTTTATTCATAAATTATGTGAACCAACTATACGAAAATCCTTATTATTTATCATTTTATAAAGTTCGAATGGATTGGCAATTAACTGATGTTTTGCCAACTATTTCAATAAATAATATAATAAATAAATAGTGTAAATAAACAATCCAATAAATAAATAAATAAATAGTGTTTATTATTTCTGTTATCAATTCTCAAGAACAAAGAAAATGTATAAATTCACATTCTTCACATGTTTACATTTTATTAGAATTCTAATCATCGCTTTATAAAGCAATCAATATTGCTGAGGAGTGAAGGTAGTTAAAATAATAGCAGTGTCAAGGGAAAAACTGTCCTTTTCACACTCCATTTATTTTCTGAGCACAAAGGTCCAAGTTTGCCCATGTTTTTAGTATATTGATTTTTTTTATCGCATAGAAAAGTAAAATAAATAATTTAAAATCAAACGTCTAAGGATTTTCTTTTTCTTTTGTTTAATTATTTTTTTGTTACTTCTGGACTTGGACAGTGGATGTTTAAAATGAGACCCTCTGATGACTGCTCACTGATTTTGATTCCAAAATATTAGTGTCTCCTGAAATAGAAAATGTATAAAAAATCACATTCTTTATAAAATTATTATAAAAACAAAAATAATGTCAATAATTTATTGTAAATTTTAAAAAGATAATTTTGTTTTAGAAATGTTTAAATACTCAAATATCTCTATTTTGCTTTAAAAATTATTCTGTATTTCTGGGGACAAATACATAATTTCTAAAGATAAATCTGAATTTTGCCGATTTTATTAAAATTTAAAAAAATTAAACTACACTCTTTTACAAATTAATTGAAATAACCACTTTAGTTTCCTTTCTTTGGAGTGACAGGGTGTAATCGATTTCTATTTTATCCTCAGATTAGGTCAATTGCAGTAGTGTGCAGTAATACGTTAAGATTCCATGAAAAAATGACTTTCATTTCAGCTTTTGGAAGTAAAGTCTGATGATCCAGAACCCTGTTAAAGGGGTTATGGTGAAATAGCTTATTACATGGAATCTTAACGTGGTCTGTCTTTTATTCAAATATATATATATATATATATATATATATATATATATATATATATATATATATATATGTTTTAGGTAAATGCCTTTATCAGGAAATTTATAATGAAACAAGTAGTCATATTCAAAAATGACATTGTCATCTCCATTTTAACACAAGTTTTCTTAAGACAGATGTATTCTTTACTAAATTAAATAAATATTTAACCATTTATTCTCCATGGGATAATATGTTTTTCATCCCAGGAAATAGCAGAGGTTTGAATCGATTTTGATGTCAAAAGCGTTTGTTCTAAAAAGAGTTGATTTATGGTGACCCCCAATATCTACTGGGCTCACCTTAAGAGATACTAAAGTAAGTTTTGCACTCAGTGTCAAACCAAAACAACGAAAGAGCTAGCTGCATTAAAGGATCGACATAGAATATAACCTCATAACCGCCAAAGGATATCAGTGGCTCTACCAACATATAAACAGAAAATCAACTCAGCTGAATTTCAGAATACAGGAAGTTATATAAACGCCTCACCTATGAGAGAAAAGTTAGAGTTCTTCACATCCCTGAAAGCAGATTCAAATGTTGTCCCTGAAATCACACCCCATCACAACCGACATTTATCTGACAGAGCAGAATTGGATAAAGGATAATTTTACATATGAATGATTTCGTCTTGTATTCTTATTAGATGTTCACAGTGATAATATTACAATGTGACTATTTTCTTTTATACAGCGTATATGAAAGGACTTGTTGAATAAAAGTGATTTTTTAATCTAACACTTTCTACTTACTGTTATGGTTATTATTCCGTTGTAAATGATTCGTTCTTACATATATCTTTGCACAAGATAATGTCATAACCACGGCATTCACAGACTTTGCATTTGTTATCCATTGTCACTGTTTCCAGTTTCGTCAATTTGCCTCCATTTAAATGACATACGTTGTTCCTATCTATCAAAAGAATAAAAACAAAAACAATCAATAAAGAACTGATAATGTAACAATAGCAAATTGATAAAGAAAATGAAAGTTATTAAAATGCATTAAGTGTATTAACAATTCTAAGTATTCGGGCCGGGATCAAAGTGCAGTATCTGCTGTTCACCTCGCTCCCATATTTCTATCTTCAGAAATTTCTGTCCTTGTTGTAGAGTAGTTTTCACAGTGGAGGCTTGTATTTCAATAAGTCGTCCTAAATTAGGTTCGACGTACAAAACGTTAGAAACTTGGAAATAAGAGTTAATGACGCAGCAATCTAGTTGTGATGGTTGGTACTTCAATGTCCGATATCGACTGACTCGCTCAACACCACTGAGCCAACCTGGCGACCGCTACTACTACTACTACTACTACTTATTATGTGTGGGAGAGTCTATTAATAATAGAATAGGTACGTCAGGTATAACACTTCTGCTCTTGAAAAGGCATAGATGGATGCCTGGTCCTGGGGATTCCAACTTTATAGCATCACCTCCATTATTGCACTAAAGAAGGAACACTGGGGAAATATCGATACCAGTGTGACAATAGTTGCAGGGACTGGGCAGTTTTTGTCCTGGGTTCGTGTTTATGCGCATTGACACCACGCATTAAAAAGACAATGCCACTATGAGGGGCAAGTATATACCATTATTAATTTGATGAAAAAGTTTCCAGCAGTATTGTGACAAAATCTTTTTTCTCTCATTGGCTCATAACATTATTATTTAGTCATCAAAATATTTTCCTTATGCCATTTTTCAAATGAATTATACATTTCATCAAAAATGAATAATTCTAGTTTTGATTTGATGAACTCTCCTTTAATTGTTTTTAATATCTTGAACTTGTTGAAATCACTGACCAGACAAAGATTATTCGCATGGAATGAAATAAGCAATATTCTGAAAGTGACCAGTCTGGATAATATACTCTATGTGGAAAAACTTCTCATACCAGCTCCATAACTGTTTGTGGTATCATATTTTCAATATGAAGATGAATGCAGTGAAATCTTCTTTGCCCAGAAAATAAGATTATGCATTTTAATGTTTCATTCAAACAAGCCAACTGTTCATTGATCAGTCTAAAAAATATGCTACATGTGGAAGAACTTTCCATACCAGCTGCAAGATTATTTGCTGTGTGGTCAAGAGAATTGACATTGACTTGCAGGATTGATTGATCCGTTTTCTACGGATTATCAACTCTTAGCAATATTTATAGATCGTAAGAAATTTCTTTTTGAGGTAATAATGATCTAGTTATACAAGTCTTACTAATTAACCCATAGCTGGTGGGGGAGAAGAAGTGTATTCCTACTTTTCCCAAGGGTATTTGCGTGTAGCTGAATATAATGAGCCCAACTGAAATTGGAATTTAGTTCTCTGATTAACAATTTTGAGTCGTTATCAACTAGATCATGTGCACATCCAAGCTTACGGTCCCTTGGTATTCCTAAGTAGTTACCCATCTAAGTACTGAGCAGGCTCGACATTGCTTATCTTCGGTGATCATACAGGAACCAATGTTTCAACATAGTGTGACCATATGCTTGACAAATTACCATTCCTTGCTTTTGTTTTTCTATTCTTATGTGTCATTCAAACGAACCAATTTCTCATTGACTAGTCTAGTAACTATGATGCATGTGGAAGCACTTCCCATACCAGCTGCAAGATTATTTGCCGTGTGACTAGTTTCGTCAAGAGAACTGACATTGACTTGCAGGAAAATTAACATTCCACTTCCGTGCTCTTGTCTTTTCCATTCCTGCATACCATTCAAATTAGCCTGAGATGGTGCTGAAAGGTTCATGATCCAATAAGATTTTTAAAAAGATGCTTGTTTATCATTTGGTCAGATTTTAGGAAATGGGTTAAGCTATGAATTTTTCAACATCTCCTCGTAGCATTGTACAGTAATAGTTTCTCTTGTTTCCAGAATTTTCGAAGTAAAGAATTCTCTTTAAATCTCATTAATAACTTTTTCAACCTAGTAGATTCCATTTTTAGGATGAGATGTTTGAATCTCGTCATGCCTTCATGTTTGATTCCTATAAAAAGTTAATTTTTCATTACCAATACCTCATAAATAATGAACTATTCCGTTTTGATCATGTGGAAAGAGGAAAAAAGTTGCTATTTGTTTTTAGCGAGAAAATGAAAGAAAAAAGTAAGATAGAGAGAATCAGATTAAAGCGATTGGAACAGATACTACTCTTTGATCACAGCTAAAAGGAGAATAACTAGCAGGCACGATAAAAGCGCTATTTTTCAGACGCACAATTCCGAACAAAAGAAAAAAGCGAGTAGGACAATCTCTAAAAATTTAGTTACCATAAATAAAATAACATTGTCTGCTGAATTATTTAAAAATCATTATTGAGAGAAATGTTCGTAAGGCAAGGATTTGGCTAGAAAGAAAGAAAGAAAGAAAGAGAGAAAGAAAGAAAGAAAGAAAGAAATAAAGAAAGAAGGGAAGATAAAAGTGTTTAAGGCCTGTTACCAATACCTCATAAATAATAAATTCGTTTTGATCGCGTGGAAAGAGGGGAAAAGACATTACTTCATTTCAGTGAATAAATGAAAGAAAATAAAAAGAAAGAAGAAACGATAGAAGTATTTAAAGGATGTTTCAGTGAAATGAAAAAAAAAATATCTTTTCATTTCTACCCACTTCTTAAAATAACGACCAGTATTATGATTGTTATTGCAATATTTTGTTAAAGTTGTTAAGCTCAAATACTTAACGATTCATCAGAAAATTAAAATAGCAAAACCATGAAATTTTCTTGGATTTTTCTAATCTCTATTAATTTTTAGATATAATTTTTTTTTACTTAATTTTAAAAGTGCTAATACAAGCCACAATTGCTTGACTACTAAATCTTGAGTTGTGCTCTTTGCCAATTTTTCGGATGCTTTTAAAATAACCTGGGAGACTATTGAGAAGTATATCAATTCACAATTTAGTCTCGATGGGCTGTCAAATGTAATCGATTTTAATACTTATAGCCCAATGAGTTAACCTTGCTTGCAGATAAATCAATTTAGATTACCAGACAAGTGAATATTTAGTGAGGAATCACTTTTCTTTTACAATAACAACAGATCCAGCATTTTTTAGCATCATAGATTCCATACATTTCTCTATACAGAATGTATTTGAGGACGAAATTATCGGAGGATTGGACTACTAGGTCATTTTTTTACAGTAATTGTATGAGAATTATAATATGAAGTTACTCACCTGAAACACAGTATTTTCCATCTTCAAAACTGCAACAATTATGGTCTGTAAAGAAATGCATTTGTTAATTGGTCAATTGTTTAATGTAGATTAACTTTTCTTTATTCAAATTCAGAATTTAGAATCATTTACAAATTCAGTTTATAATAAATATTTATATAAACAATAAATATAACATATTTACAAATATTGCTGGATGAAATGGTATATAGTCTTATAATACGCACACACACACACACACACACACACACACACACATACATACATATTATTAGAAGTCCTCCCAGGAATGGTAAAATGTTGTAAAAGCCATGGCGCAAATTTACTGTAGATGACTTTACGATCAAGGCACTCTCTCTAAAAACTTTTTCCACTTTGTCATACATTTTCCCAATATTGTTTTTGATATATATATATATATATATATATATATATATATTCGAAATGAAATCTTTATCATTATAAACGATATTTTTAGTGGGTTCACGTATTTGATTTGCTGAAATCAGTGAAATTAATAGTAACCGTTCTAGATTAAGAAGACCTAATAAAAAAAATTGTGCCTCCGATAGAAATCGAACCGGTATCACCTTTTTCCGCCAAGTTTCTATAACCGGAAGGCTAAGCTCAATATAAACAGGGTTTATAGTAATAAAATAAAGATATATATGTAAAAGGCTAATTATAAAAAGACATTAAAAAAAATCGAACAATGAATAATATGTACAGATCTTGAAAATGGTCAGAAATATGGTAGAAAGCGTTAGGCCACAAATGTCTAGACATTCATTGGATCCAGACATGCATTTTTAGTAATATCCAAAATTAATAATTGAAAAAGGCGAGCGTATAAAGATTTCAGAGTTATATCAGAAATTTCCGCAAAAGAATATCAACAAATATATATCATGACGATAGCCCCACCCCCGCCAAAAAAAAAAAAAAAAAAAAAATGAAATCAAAGCAATAAAATCTAAAATAAAATTAGAATTTTGCTTTCTTAAAGAAAACTATCGGACTTCGTAGAAAACAAATCGAGATGCATAAGAAGATAATTTTTAATCAATCACAGTTTGCGTGATGTAAATTAAAAAAAAAATTGATCTGATACACAGAAAACTAATAAATGCAAAATTTCGCATCAGGCCTGACAGTAAGCGCAGAAAAACCAGCTTATTTACACCCATCTACACCAAACGACTTTTCCTAAAGGAGAAAGTGAAGGACTAGAGATCAAAAGACTCACCGATAATTAACACTTCTCCGTCTATACGCTTATCCTTCTTGCAACAAAATAACTTCGAATCTTTGCAAAGTAACTTTCAACAAATCACATCGAAGTATTGGTCTCTTCATGGCCGCAACAAAAACATTCATTTTCAACATGTAGATGTATATATATCTACTGTATAAATGTTATTGTCATATTTAGCTTGGTTTTCTTCCTTTTCTGTGAAGATATTTTCGTTGCATTGTTTAAACTTTTGTACTGTAATTTGTAGACATGACACTCAGATTTTATTTTTCCACCTAAAATCTGGGTAGACTAACCCCAGAAGCTCACTTTTTTACAGTCTATATATTTTCTTCACACGCATATCGTTGTTCGGTAAATGTGCTAATTCCTTCGACGGACAATAAAAGGAAATAGTTTTAATTACGAAAATCTGTCTTATAGAGAATTTTGATATTTATTTGACTGACGTAGGATGATCTTTCACTTCCAGAAAACGTTTCTAAAAGAAATTAAATAAAAAAGAGGAATACTATCAACTGTTGTCCTCAAACTGACAGATAGCGAAACTATTTTTAAGGTATTGTGACGTTGTGCAGAATTGATGCGACGAAGTAAATGCAATTAAATAATTCAATATATCTACTTTTTGTACGGAAGAGATAAATGAAATTAAATAATTGCAACTAACATTAGCGAAGTGGGTGTAGATTTTCGGTTAAAAGTTTTCCTTTCGTTCAACTGATATTTTCAAATTGCCAGTAAACAAAGATCAATGATTTCACAGACGATTTTAAAAAACGATTTTACCTGAAGAACAGTTTTCTTGGTGATGACATTTGGTAACTTCTGTCGGAAGACGTGCCATTGGACAGAACGGCGTTTCTGTCAAGGGATACATTTTTAAAGAAACATTTAATAAACAATAATAGTTGTTATTTTTTTTTTTGTATATAATTACATCACGATTTAATGCATCTTGGTAATTTCAAGTTTCAGCAAAATATATCTGATTGATCATTGTAACTAGTTAGAATTAATTGTTTCTGTACTTTTGAAGAAATAGATATTATTATGAATGAATGGCGAACTTGGACCCTTGTGTCCGAAGAAAAAAAAAACACCCCCAAAGAAAAAACAAACAAAAAAAAAACAAAAGAAAAAAAGACCCCCCCCCTAAAAAAAAACGGAATATCAAATGGACGATTTTTCCATTGACTCCGCTATTATTTTAACTATCTTCACTCATCGACAATGTTACACTATTTATTTATTGCATTATTTATTGGAAAGGTTGGCAAAACATCACTTAATTGCTAAGCGATTCAAATTTTATAAAATGGTAAATAAAGGATTTCATTTCACATATTTTAATAATTTAATAAATGTTTATAAATTTATGAATAAAAATAGTTTTCATATTTATTTCTTTATAAATTGGTAAATGATAAATATTGCACTGTTTTAATTGTATTGGTTTTTAGAATGTTTTAATCATGAATTTATTCTTATAAATGAACAATCTAATAGTGTTTAATATTTTTGTTGCAAATTGTCAAGAACAAAAAAATTTCAAATGACGTGCTAGTTAAAATAATAGTGATGTCAATGAAAAAAACTGCCCTTTTGACATTCCGTTTTTTCTTCGTGTAGGAAGGTCCAAATTTGCCGAATGAAACAATAATCAAATGAACTGATTTTACTAAAAATATTTAAATTACAAACGTTTAAGTGACTATTATAGAAGCTTTAGTGTTAGTCTGATAAGGTATAGATATTTATTTTCTTTCTAGAAATAATATGAAACTTCATGTTAATTCTACAGACTTGGTTGATTCTACAGGCATGGGTGAATTTTTTTTAGTCAAGATAATATATACTTCTGCATTAGAGCTTTAATTCTTCATTTGAACAAAATAGTGTTTTGAAAAGTTAGGACAATTCTGGAAATGTCCCTTTCTGCTCATATCTGTCTTTAAATTTAAAATGAATATATCTAGGAAATAAGAATATCATCCTTCAAAACAAAATCTTGTACGTTTTTAAATGACGTACTTCCATTTATG